AATGCAGAATTCTTTAAGAGGAACTTGAGTCATGGCAAGATTGACCATCTTTGGAACTGGGAAAGGACAAATACCAAGGGTAAAATGACAGAAAAGACTAACCCGTTGGGATCCTTTTGAGTGGATCTAGCTTTTAGGAACATTTATTCTACCCAAACTCATGACTGAATTACAGTTCTCTAGCTGGGTAAATTAATGTTCAAAGAAATTGATCTTAAGCACCTGGTATTAAAATACTAGACAGATTCAATATAGGTGAGTTTAAATGCAGTTCTCTGGCCACCATGTTTGGGCTCTCGTACTGTACCTAGGAACCAAATGATACTCAATTCAATTCAGTATGCTGGTCAGTCAACCAGCAAAGCAAATTTTCCCTGAAACATCCCATGGTGACGGAGGAGGACTAATACAATCTCCTGAACTTGCTTTGCAGCAAAAGCCTGCTGTGTTTTTTCAAACCCTTCCCCTTGAGCAGACAATCCAGCCCTACTCTGGCTGCCAAACAAGGCAGGATGGCTCTTTGTGGAAATAGAAAAACAAGTAGGAAGAAAAGTTTAAAATTTACTTTTCTTGGAAGGTTAAATAAAAATCTATATATATTTTTTAAAGGGGGGGTGGATAGAGGGAAACATCTTGAAATTACAGTATTAGTTTATTCCTTATTAATTAATTAATTAATTTTTTTGGGCTGTGTTGGGTCTTCGTTTCTGTGCGAGGGCTTTCTCTAGTTGTGGCAAGCGGGGGCCAGTCTTCATCGAGGTGCGCGGGCCTCTCACTAGCACAGGCTCCAGACGCGCAGGCTCAGTAGTTGTGGCTCACGGGCCTAGTTGCTCTGCGGCATGTGGGATCGTCCCAGACCAGGGCTCGAACCGGTGTCCCCTGCATTGGCAGGCAGACTCTCAACCATTGCGCCACCAGGGAAGCCCAAAAATCTATATTTTAAACAAATATATGATTTCATCTAAACTCCTCATTTGACAGATTCATTCATTCATCATTCAAACAATTATTTACTGAGTACCTACTATTCCAGACATTCTTTCAGGGGTTAGGGATACAGCAGTGAACAAAACAACAAAAATCTCTGCCCTTACAAGGCTTACATTTGTGGAAGCTGAGGCCCCCAAAAGCGGAAGTGTCCTGCAGCCTAAGGCTTGGGATAAGCTAAAACCAAGTTCTGAGCTCCTCATCCTTCTCCTCTATCACACAATTGATGGGCAGACTAATTCAGAATAAGTAGGTTCTTCAAGCATTATCATCAATGTCATCTCCAAAGAGCTCTCAGGTTTTGAGAGTCATCCTCTGCCTGCCAGCCATCTTCAGCTGAAGCGCACAGCAACAGCTTTGACCCATCCTTCTCCCTCAACCCTGCCATACATGTGAGCTCCCAATTCTGATAGATTATATCCCTGTATCATTTTTCAATTTTATTTCATTCTCACCACTACAGTCCATATGCACCCCCTTTACCTCTCAAGGGAACTCACTGTCTTATTGGTCTCCATGCTGGCTGCCAGGGTATTACCACCTTCTATGCTGAAAGATTTCTAAAGCAAAGTTTTGATCTTATCACCCCTCTGTTCAAATACCTTTAGTACCTATTCCCTACTGAAATTAAGCACTAACTCTCCAGTAGCCCAGCATTTCAGGAGCTTTATCGAACGGCTCCAACCTATTTTCCTAGCCTTGTCTCCTTTATTCACAGAATATATTTTAGCAAAATGGAACTAGATAATTTGCTGTTGCTCATATTTCCTTTTTGCTTGGAATGCCTCTTTCATTTCCACCCAATTCTTCCAAGAGCATTTCAAATGCAGCTTCTTTCATGAAATTCTTTGTCATGCTCAGATTAGATGAAAAGTCTCCTTCCAGTCCCTAAAGATTGTGATTTGGGATGCTTATCTGTTCTGCCTTGTGTTATAAGTTATCTGGCCACCTGGCTTATCTGCTTGTCAGTTCTTTGAGGACAAGGACTCCCTACTTATCTTGGTATCTCCAGGACATACTTTCACATAGCAAGTCCTTAGCTAGATTTACCGAGTCAAAATTGCTGAAGAAAGGTTAGCTGTCCCTAAAGTTAATACCTTTCAATCTCTCTCAAGGAGAGATTTTAGTTTCTTCTTTGGCTGATTTCAAAACTTGCAAAGAATTAATCTTAAAAAAAAAAAAAAAAAAAGCATAAGGAAAAAACCCTGAAGATGGAACCAAAGCAATGAGACCACAGACTAAGACAGTGTAAAGGCTGAAAAGACACTAGAAATCCATTTACCCACAGTGCACAGTGCAGAAAGAATTCTACCCAGTTAGAATTCAGAATCCTGATGGAAAGGAGGTATAAAATTTGCACTGATGTGGGGAATTTCAATCCCTTAGCAGCCATGGGATACTAAAAACCCTAAAAGAAAAAAAAAAAATCAAACACGCTTTCAAGACTCAAGTCTTTAAAAAGAAGCTTACTGCCTTGTAGATGAGATTTCCTAATTACATACCCGGGTTTAATGACTTTTCACTTGAAAGTACACTGAAATTCACTGTACTTTTACTCAGATACTAGGTATGACCTCATTTTCCACCCTGGAAATCTAGGTCTTCAACCATCTCTTTTCCCCATACCTTTAAAATTCAATCAAAACAGCAACATTGATTATGAATTCACTGAAGCAGAAAAGACAAGGGAAACTAAAGGAAACACATATTTTAGTTTTCAAATATTCTAAAAGTATTTGAATATTTATTCAAATAAATATTGAATTATTTGAATAAGTATTCAATATTTATGATGGGCAGGTATTATGATTTCACTGACTACTTAAATTATTTTTTTATTTCTTTCATACCTTTACTATTTAAATGTATATTTCATTATAAGGTAACATAACTCCATTATAGAATAGTTTGTAGGGGCTGCCCTGGTGGCGCAGTGGTTGAGAGTCCGCCTGCCGATGCAGGGGACACGGGTTCGTGCCCCGGTCCGGGAAGATGCCACATGCCGCGGTGCGGCTGGGCCCGTGAGCCATGGCCGCTGAGCCTGCGCGTCTGGAGCCTGTGCTCCGCAACAGGAGAGGCCACAACAGTGAGAGGCCACAACAGTGAGAGGCCCGCGTACCGCAAAAAAATAAAAAAAAAGAATAGTTTGGAAAAATATTACCCACAATACTACAACTTCCAACACTACTTCTGTTAATATTTTGGCATTATCTCCTCCCATTGACTTTCTCATTTTCCCTTCCCCTTCAGGAAAATCATGAGGTATTTCTAATTTTGTATTGTGATTTCTTTACTATACAACCATAAACATTTTCAGGTTGCTACAAGTTTTCCTAAATATTATTTTAAGTGGCTAGATAATATTCCACTGAATAAATGCATTACAATTCATTTTATTATAACCCAGTTTATTTGATAAAAGATTTGAGCGGATCCATAACCATTCCCTTATAATTAGATAGGTGGATCATTTCTAAAACTTTGCTAGAAATAGCACTGTGACAGTTTAATGCACATAAGTAAAACTGTATCTTGGATTGTTTTATTGTGATTGTTTTATTATTATTCCAAGAAGTAAAATTATTCTATCAGAGAGGATTGTAACTTTATCAAATTACTTTCTAGAGAATTTGTAACAATTTGCAAAGTCAAGAGCAATGCATGAGAATGTCATTTGAACTGTGCACTCTACACTTTTCAAAAGGGGGGGTAGGGAAGAACGACTGCAGAAGTCAACAGTACTCTGCTGTCAAATCACAAGTCAGTCAAAATAGAATCATTAGCCAAGTACTCTGATTAAAGTATGTAACTCTGGACCCAATTAGGGGTCATAGTTTGCTAAACCCCATCTTTTTGCCTACCTACTCTCTCTTTTATCTACTCTCTAATACATAGATTTCCTTCCTTCACACATCTTTTTCTTACCCAACATGCCACACATACATGCCAAAAGTATGTACTCACTGGTGAGTCTATCTATATTTGTGTACATACTTTACTGTATGTATGTGTGTGTGTGTATACCTAAGTATACTACTTTTTTGTTTGTTTTTGTTTTAGAGGGGGCACCTGGATTCTATATTCTATTTTTAACCTATGTACTTTCACATGTACATCTGTGAGATAAGTTTTTTTACATTTTATTGTAAAAATGTCTGTGAATATAAAACAGTGAGGTCAGGGATGAGGGGGGAACAATCTAATTTGATATGACTATGTGTGTGTGTGTTATCTGTTTATTATTCTTTGCTTCTTTATCTGCTGAGGTACTCATTTTCCTCTTAGCAATATATAAGGTAATGAGGATTAAAACTGTCATATTTACTTCCCAATCAGTTACCCCTTTCTTTAAACGTTGTCAAATTTGTTGATTTTTTTTTTTTTTTGGCAGGGGAAGGGGTGGTGTTTGCCTCCTCTGTCTTTAGGCTGAGAGAAGCCTCTCATCCAAACCACTAGCTTCCCAAACCATGATCACTGAAGGATGGACAACATGGCCTTCTCTGGAATGGCCTAAAGCAAAGCTGAATCTTCACTACAGGTCCAGATCCTGGCCAGCTATAAAGTTAACCTGGATATAGGGACAGAGGTGGGGTGGAGATGCCAGTTCATGCCTATGTCAGCTGGAAGTCCAAATTACCCACCCTTCTTAATCAGCAAGGGAAAACCAGCATGGGTGAGAGCTCTACTCTGGACTGCAGATGAGACCCAAAGTGGGCTACCCTGTCCATCCAGTGTGTTTTTGGGCCTGTGGCAGACTGTCCCTTTCAGCCAACAGATTTTGACAGGCCCAGCTTCTCTAGAGTGGATGCTTCATGTAAGACACCTGGCCACATCTCAGTGCTATTACACAACCCTGAGGGATGCTGGAATGCCACACCACAACAGTGAGTAACGCTAAGCCCTTTGTCTTTAATTTCAGTATATACGCTTAAGTGGAGAAGCTGAAGAATTTGGATTTTAATATTAGCCAGGAAGAAGGGGGATTTCTGAAACAATGAAGGTCCAACACATACCTGATTTCGTAGAGGCTGTTGTGATGGCCGATCCCTGTGTGTGTGGCTTTCTCGAGTTATTGCAGATGCACCAGAATCTACATGAACTGACCCTACTGGAGTAGGCTGAAAAAATATATATCAAAAAGTCAAATGGGGAAAACAGGTCCAACTTAATGCCTCCGCAAAGGACAGCATCATTCTAATTCTAACAGAACAGTAGTAATTATTATTACTGTTATTATTACACCAAGGCCAGTTTCAAGTCTTCTTGCCTTTTCAGTTTGCTTATCTGCAAAAGGGAGACAATTTGGTCCTCAATAGTTCATTGGAGAGTAGCTTGCCTTCGAAAAGAAAAATAACATCCTACAGTGATGACTGTTAGTATGCTCTAGGACCCTGTGAACCCAAGGCCAGAAGAAAAAATTCAGAAGTTTCCTCTGGTGCTGGGCTCCACCCGACGGAAATCAAGTACCTTAATAGCTTATGTAGCACCAGCTCCTGGATCATTCAAAGAAAACTTCTTAAAAACTGACTTAAATTCTGATATCTTAGGACACAGTGGTCATAATCTTAAAAACACAGTTAGTAACTCCTTTATTACTCTAGTGAGAGTGACCCCTGGCATCACCCTGAAAAGACTGGCAAATGGAACGTCTACAGTCAAAGGAATGTGTTTTTTTTTCCCCCCCATAGATTTAAGCAGAAAGTCTGGCAAGGGTGTGAGACAGTGCTGGTCTGAGGTGAGGAGGTTAAAAAGAAGATACTTACAATAGGCCTCCCGACCCAATCATAGGCGTAGTCAAAGGTGTAGCCTTTCCTTTCAAAGAGGTCTGTGAAGAGCGTCCGTAAATACTCATAGTCAGGTTTTTCAAAGAAGTCTAATCGCCTGACATATCGCAGGTAGGTTGCCATCTCCTCTGTTAGGAAAGAGGTTAAAGGCCATGCTCATTAGCTGAATGCTTCTCATGGGGAGAAGCTTTGGGCCAGGCAAGGAATATCTGTACAGACTATTTGACACTGATGTTTTCTTTATGGACCAAATCAAAGTGATAAAACCTATCTTGATTTAAATAACAATAAAAGGAAATGTAAATTTTCTGGAGAGTATCTAGAAATACTAAGATATGGTCTCCACCTCCTTCAAAGCTTCAGTCACACTGGCTGGAGTGTCCTTTCAGCATCCTACCTGGAAAGTTTTCACAGAGAGCTTCAATGGGAGTATTCCTTTTGGTGTCACCAATTTTTTGATATCTTTCTTTTAATGTATCAGCCTGTAGAGAAGAAAGAGAGAAAGTTAGTTGGAAAGAGGTGTTAAGTATGGGAGGTCCAATATGTTTCGGGACATAATGACTGTTTCACTCAAACTGGCAGGATTTGTTAGATAGTCTCAATTTTTTTCTAATACTAACAAACAAGAAATGTAGTAGAGATGATATATTTAGATATGTACAAAACATCTGTTCTGGAAAGTTTTACTTGCAAATACATTTAGTAGTCTCAGATAAACACCACCAAATGTAATGAGATGAGAGGCTAAGTTAAGAAAATAAATTCAAAATTATAACAGCTTAGTAATGACCCATGGCCACTAGGGTTCAAAAGTTATTCAACCTCCTCATCCTTAGATCAGCTCTAGATAAGATTAAAAACACTGCTAATCCAAATGGGGGCAAACAGACAGATGGCTCCACAACATATTTATTGTGAAGTTGAATAGAAAAAGAACAAGATGTAAGAAAACTGCCTTTCTAAGAACCTGCTGTATAAAAAATAAATTAATTAAATTAAATTAAAACAAAAACAAAAGCAAAAAACAACTGCCTTTCCACAATGTGCTTCCAGAGGGAAAAATGTTAACTATGATACAGGCATGGCTAACAGACAGGTTTGCTATATGTCAGTGGCTCAAAGTAGCCAAGTTTGGTTTGCTCAAGACTGTAGACAGACGGCTCCTGGAGCTTGGACCAATAATGTGGTCTCAAGGGATTCTCATGAGGCTCTGCCTAGCCTGCTGCACCAGGCTTTAAGCAATTATGTTTTGAAGTATACTGGAGGAGTTTTAAATCTACAACTACCACTAAAATGATTCATGGATCATGAGAAAGTTTCAAGCAATTAATAATATACAAATGCATTATTTGGCTGTATAATGAGCAAACAGGATGTGAAACTCTATTTGACAGCTGTCAATATCAATGAGAAGGTATATGTGACTAGGAGAAGACCATGGAGGAGATGTTAGGAGAGGAATTTAACGGGAAAGAAATAAAATCTTCCCAAAGGGAAGGGATAAAAGCCTCACTTTTCAGGACAATGTCCAAGAAAGCACAGCAAAACAAATCATTCTGCCCTTCGGGAGGGAAGGGGTATAGTAGTACCCAAAGCTACCAATTAAGTTTCCTTCCATACTAACATGTTGAAATAAATCACAACTCAAAAATGTCTTGCATTTAACTATCTAATGGGACGTAGAATGGGTTACAAGCTCACCATTTCCTAGTCTAACCGCCAGAGGCACAGAGTAACCATTACAATGGTTGTAACTATAATTAATAGTTAACTTCGACACAAATGCACTGTATTGACACCTACCTAAGGAAGGCTATTTAAACTACACATTTTACAAGGAACAGCTATTTTATGCAAAGGCATTTATTCAATTAAACACTTGAACAGCAATGTTTAACCTGGATTTTCGTTTTAGTTCAGGTGGGTCCTTAGCCTATATAGGAAGAACAAGTATTTCCCAGTTCCCCTTAGGGGCACACCTAGTCCTGCTGGCCTTGCTGGTAAAATGTGTAGTAGCTGCTATCATCAATTTGTTCCAGAAATTCCCCAACACCCTGGGAACAATATGCCTGCTACATAATGTTAGTGAAGGAGGCATACTGACACAGAGAGAAAAGCAGCACTGCCAAGGCTGGGAGGGAATGAGGTAAGAGATTATGGAAAACTCTAAAATAAGGAAGAAGGATCAGAAGGGGAAGAAGACAAACGTGGGCAAAAGAGAGCTTCCAAAGCCCAGGTGAGCATTTACATTATAGACTAACGTCGTTCCTGCCTGTCATCCCCGTAGCCAATCTTCCCCTTTGTGCTTCCTACAGACATCAAGTCAGCAACTCCTTCATTATCAACTGAGTATTTAAACAAAGCCCTCCACTGAGCACTTCCAAGGATACCTTGAGTCCTTGCCAGGGTAGGCTGCCTCGAAGGAAATACATGAACATATGGCCTAAGGCTTCCAAATCATCCCGCCGGCTTTGCTCTAAAAAGGAAGACAGATGACACATTATGTTTGCAGTTATTAAAGCAGAAAGGGGTTCAAAACCAAGTAATCCCTTCAGAAACCCGTCTGCTCTGGAAAGGCTCTGCTTACTAATTCTTTGTATATCTAAATCAGGGATAGTATTTTAGATCAAAACCAAAAACAACGTGTACGTCCTTTGCCTAGATCTGCTACTGGCAAGTAAATATCAAGTGAAAAGAGCAAATCCTAAACTAAAACCAAGTCCAAATCACCAAATGGTGAGTAACCACCCCTCCTCACGCTATGCCGTCACCTTCCTGAAAGTGAGATAATTTAAACAAAATGTTATTCCTAGTACATGGGCTACAATTACTCTTTGGTTACCAACACGAAAAGTGAGCAGCAGATTGAGTAGCTGAGGCTGCTAAGAGAGTCCATTCTGGCTAGGCCCGCAAAGACACAAGCTGCAGAATGCCTAGCATACATGCCTAGTGCTTTTTATTCATCATAAAAATGAACACTTAAAATTTAGTTTAATGTAAACAAACATCAGGGCACAATCCTCAGCTCCACCCCATTTGTACCATGTCCCATAGCCACCTAAAGAAAAATTTAAAGTTTATTACTAAGGTGCCCTTTGTGGGCACATAAAACAGTATCCCTGCATTCAGAGAGCTTATCATGTAAAACAAGTTGCTGGATTTTTCTTTCTTTTCTTTAAATCGGGAAGATAAGGATGGTAAAGAACTGCAGAATAGTTAATAAAAAATTGTAACTACATCTCAGAAAACATCTTATACATTCTTTGACTGTCAGACAATAGAAGTAGTACATTCTTCCATTTTTAATTGCCAATTACAATTTATCTCAGACATTTCATGTGTTTATTTTTCAGAATCGAGTTCAAAAGAAATGACAGATGCAAGAATAAGGGGCTATCTTAAACTTGATTTTGTCTTCTTTGTGCAGAAAGTAAAACCTAACAGAGTCAGGGAGGCAGGGAAAGCTACTCAGGTAACCCAAAATACAGAAGCACAACACATTTAACTGCCGCCTCCAATTACAGGAAATTTGCATGAAAAAGAGTGCATAGTACTCTACAGGGCAGATGAAGAAAGAAAAGGCAACTTTCTAAATTGTACTTTGAAGGAGGTTTTTGGAAATGAGGTCACTAATGGGAAGGGGCGGCACCCTGACAAGAGACATAAATAACATAAAGTTGAGCTGATACAGAGCAACTGAAATAATCTTAAAAAGAATGAAGCAAAACAGCAAGGCCATCAGAAGCTTTTGACTACAAGGCTTGCCTGAAGTTTGCAATAAATTTCATATGTAATTGAAAACAAAAAGAGATTTTGTTAACAGAACTTAAAGAAACAGATTTTGTCAACAGACAAAAACAGATTTTGTTAACAGAACCTAAAGATACACCAAAAAAGAAAGAACAAGCAGGGTGAGTTGAGGCCTCCCACAAAACAGGGCAGATAGAGAAACCACACTCTGCAGGTTCTCACACTATATCACACCTACTCATCGCCTCTCCATTTTTATATCCACTTCCTGTAAGGAGGCCCCTTGGTAATAAATAATTCAGGGGACAAATGGTTGTACTTTAGACAGTTGAGCACTAGAGGGCGAAACTCTCCACATTTTCAATGACTGATCGGCCCTACAGAAATAAGCCCAGCTTCTCTTCACAGCAAAGCCGTTATAAAATGAGATTTAAAAAAAAATCAAGAACTATAATAAACACATTTAAACTCACTGGAATAAGTAATAAAGTAACTTTTCAAATACTTAAAACCACGAAGAAAAGCTGTGGAATATGGGATAACAGGAAAAATAATGGTTCCTGAGTCAGGTTATCTAGGTCTTGGCCTGTCCTTTCTATTAATTTATTAATCCACACAAAATTAAGCATGGCCAAGTCACCTTTTGGGCTTCGATTTCCTCATCTGAAAAACAAGTGGTTGATTTAGATACTCTGAAAAGTCATTTTCCATTTCTAAAATTCTAAAATAATCTACAATAATTTAAATCATAAAGGCCTTTCAAAAAAAATGAGAGTGAAGATCAGAGCCATGCTTTATTTCCACATTTCTTTGAACATTCCACATTCATTCAATTCAGGATTTCAATTCAGTATTTCCCTTGTTTTTTTTCATGCAGGATATTTCATTTTCAAAGAAAAAAGGTTTCAATACCAGTGAGACCAGGAGGACACAAAATTCTTCCATACCATAAAGGCTTGCTTTTCAACCAATCAGAAAGATGTGCTTGGTTTACTTGCATCACATCCCTGATTTTAGGTCAAATATATTTTGTTGAAGGAAAGGGGCCAGGTGACCCAGTGTCCTCACCCTAACTTCAAACATTAAGGAATACAAAATGGGCAGACTTAATCAGTGGGAAGGTGGCTAATCTAATGTAGTAAATATCAGGTTTAGGGGGCTGCTTCCCTTGTTTTCTGCCCTCACAAAATTAATAGGCAATTCTTTCCAGGTCATTTGAAGATACACTTCCCTTTTTCTTCATTACAACATAAAGGATGCAACACATTTGAAAACCAATAGGATTAGGGTTCCTACAGAAACCTCTCTGGGTTTGAGACCATGGCCAGAGTTTAAAGGGCATGTGACAACCACCTGTATGTATTCTCTGTAATAGGGACATTATAGACAAATACGGTGACAGGTTGGATCTGACCTGAAAAAAACTCTGGAACTCAGGAAGTCCACGCGTGGAGATACACTCAAAAGTTCCAGCAGAAATGGCTACATCAAGAGATAAAGGAACCTGAGTCTGATGACAGTAGATGCTTAAAACATATTTTGTTGAATAAATGATAACTAACATCATAGAGTCTTTACTATCATCAAGCACTAAACAGTTTATATGCATTATCTCACAGAGCCCTATGGTATAAAGTACTATTACCATACATCTTTCAGGGTGGGTGAGATAACTGATGCTGGTGAAGGAAGGTTACTGGACCACATAGGTTTAAGGGAAAAAGCCAGAATTTACATCCCTTTTTCTTAACTGTTACACTGTACCTTATACAAACAACATGGATATGCATCTTTTGTCTGTTCTTGCCTTTCCTGACAAGACTAATAAAATCAGAACACAAATGCTGAGTCCAGGAGGCAGGAATTAGAACAACTTCTAGACTCTGTCAGTTAACCCAAACAATCATGACTTTACTATGTACCACACACTCTATCTCCTTGTAAAAAGGAAGGAAGAAGGGAATTCTGAGCCCTATGCAAGAGACCCATGTTACATATATTATCACCCATTCAACCTGCAAAACATCCCTGTGAAATGTTACTCTATTTTTACAGGTAAGTTTCAGGGAGATTAAGTAACTTGTCCAAAGTGACACCAGTAATAAGTGCCAGAGAACCTTCCAGCCTAATTTTAAACTATTACGTTAAGTGAGAATATCCATGTGGTTACCGAAAAAATCCTGACAGCATTCATTTCAACTCGGGTTGTATCATACCACTTTATAATGTCATTTTTACTCTTCACTAACACTAGAATCCTCATCTGAGCAGTTTACTTTATGAGGCAACTTTATAGCTATTTACATTAGCTTTAATGTACTATTATTGTGTAAACTGTTTGTTAGTATTTAAATACCTTACATAATTAGCTACGTCTAGGAGTCTAATATTCTGTTTATATGTCTACTCTCTAGGGTGGTGATTTTCGAACATATCTTTTCAATCACCTTAGAAGCTTTTCTTCAAATATAATCTTCCAATGAAAGCCCAATATATAAAACAGATAAAAAGGGAAGCTTTCCTGGAGAAGCTGGCAAGGGCCCAGGGCCCTACCGACTGGGCCTTCTCACTGTTCCTTAGGCTTCCCTCGCAAATACTCTCCCCTGGACTAGTCCCTCTAACAAGTGAGACTACAGCTTTTAGCAATATTTATGCAAATTGTCTATCCTGAGTAAAATTCAAGACTCATGGAAAGGCAAATATATTTTCACTGAGTAAGACATAGGCTTTTCCCTGAAAAATGAGTCATGAAACTATGCACGGAGAACAGAAGGCTAGTCCATGTTTTAGTGAAGCACTCTTCCTCAAAGCAGATATCAGCCTGATGTCCTTTTCAGGTTATAATATGGGGCCATTTGTATGTAAATATCAAACTCATCACTAAACTTACTAAAATGTTATCATCTTAATAATTCAAGTACCACACTCTGAGAAACTAAGCATTTGGAAACAAAGAATGAAAAATCCTTAAGTTGTCAACAGGATATTTAGGAAAGTCACTAACTTACCATCTTAATTTCTCAAGTACAAAAATCACTTACCCTGTGAAGCAATAAGAATCACAAGTTGTAATGCACAATGGGTACAAAAGTGTTTTGGGAATAAAAAGGTGTTTTAACAACCTGCTGCTTTCATGGAGCTGAAAAGAAACACACCTTTGCCAAGATGCGTGTTGATAGACATGTATCTTGCAGTTCCAGTTAAGCTTTTGTGCTCCCTATAAGGTATATGTTTTTTGGTTTCGGGGTCAATGTATTCCTTGGCCAGTCCAAAGTCTATAATGTGTATAACATGCTCTTTCTTATTGCCTTGTCGGCCAATCAGGAAGTTCTCTGGCTTGACATCTCGGTAAATGAGATTCTTTGAGTGCACGTATTCCATTCGGGAAAGCTGAAAGAGAGAAAAACAATGATAGAAATACTACTCTAAAGAAGTTTACTGTAAAAATATATCAGAGCATTTTCTTTTATCAGCCCAAAGCTTTGAAATTAAAATAAAACTCATTTCTTCACCACCCAGAGCCACTTTACTCTTGTAAACCAGAATATATTTCCTGATACAAATACATATATGACAAATATCAAGATAAAAGAGAGAAGGATAGGAACTTCCCTGGTGGCGCAGTGGTTAAGACTCCATGCTCCCAATGCAGGGGGCCTGGGTTCAATCCCTGGTCAGGGAGCTAGATCCCACATGCATGCCTCAACTAAGAGTTCGCATGCCACAACTAAGGAGCCCGCCTGCCACAACTAAGATATTGTGCTGTCAAATAAATAAAAATTTAAAAAAAGAGAGAGAGAAGGATAGTACAGTTCATCTAAAATGATAATACACAGTTTTACTTCGTTATGCAACGATTTGCAAATGATGAAAAGAGTTAGTGTTTTTATGTTACTTCAGAAAGTAAGCATTTGAGAGGCAAGAATTACTCCCAGGCAGGAAATCAGAATACGTTGGTGGCCTTTGAAGACAGGTGCCGCTGCCACATTCACCTCCTGCCCACACCTTCCTATACTCTGTCTCTCTGTTGCAGAAATAAGGGAAGTGAGGCCCAGAGAAGTTAATACTGGACTGATATCACAGAGCTAACTAACAGCAGAGGTAGGAGTATAGGTTTTATGAGAAAGTAAACATAGCCCAAAATAATAATCACAAAACTATTCAAATTTCATTAAGTTCACTTCTATCTTCAAAGCTTTTCTACTTAGTATAGAAAGGGAAGCATGAGCATTTGAATTTTTGACTCAAAAGTCAAGATCAATTTTCTAACATTTCCAAGTCTTTAAACTGGGTGAGACCATCACCATTTCAGACCAATAAAGACATCCTTCTGCTTAGGGGATGACAAAGTTCTCAAAGGAACTGTCTTAACTGTTCCTTAAAGTGGTACTAGTGTGTAATTTGGTAGGAGCTGAGAAAGCTGCCTCTTCAGCTGTCTCAGTCTCTGTGAGAACTAGAGGCAAGAGAACTAAGGCAGGTTCTTGGTCACACAACTTCAGAATCTGATTTTAGGGCAGTGGGTTACATCTCCAGTCTTTTCTTGGATGAGATGGTAAGGAGAGAGGGAGGACATGACAAAATTTTACAGTCATGTGTTTAGAACCTATAAATAAAACAACAAAGAAGTTACTTGCATTTGTACAATTTTTCCTAATCATCCTCTTTCTCCCTAAATAAATTTCCACTTCAGTCAAGGTCAGAGTATTGCTCCAAGGTGCAAATTCTTAAAATAGAGCAAACAGCAAATGCAGTGCGACTTCTCTGGATTAACCCTTTTTGCCCCAGCCAGCTTCCTAGAATGCCACCAAGCCAGTAAGTGTGCATTCACTAGGTGTCACTACAGCTAGTAAATCACCAACAGGGACACAAGGATGTGGCTGGGAGACCCGCCCCGCCTATCCTTCTGCAGAATGGCAATGCCAACTTACCAACTGAATGGCTATCATTAACACAGTCTTCAAAGTGAAAGTTCGGTCACAGAGATCAAACAAGTCCTCCAAGCTAGGGCCAAGAAGCTCCAGCACCATGGCATTGTATTTCCCACATGGTCCAAAGTAATACACCTGTGGGAGACCTTCACCTGAAAGCAGAGGGAAAATAGGGTGCAGAGTGAGGGACACAAAAACCAAAATATGAGATAGCTGCAACAGCACTAAGTAGATAAAAAGGAAATATAACTTGTGAGATTTTTGTTTTCTTTCATAGTCCCTACTGGAGAACTCAAACTGAGCACAACAGCTTCAAAGGGAACTAGTAATGTGTGGGAAAGGCTAAGCCATTGCACAATATGTTCAAATAAGCAGTTATTTAATACCAGAGTGCCAAAGGCATTTCCACTGCTATGTAGGACAGAGAATGGTCCCTGATCCACTGCTGGATCAGAGCGTAAACTATTCTCCCCCAAGGATGCCCAAAAGCGCACTAGCATAAAAGGTTCAAAAGATGGCTCATGAGCTCAAAGGCCAGGCTAACACACCTTGTTGCATTAGCTGGTTTCATTTGCACTCCCTATGCTTACTACCAAAGCCACAAGGAGATGGAACTGTTTCCAACTGTTGCTCTGAGGAGAGCTCAGACCGAAGGGCTGAGGTCACAGAGGATGCAGCCTGGTCCTTGTCTCATAGGGAGTCTCTGGAGTTTCCTGTTTTCTATCAGTTGGAGCAAAGTCAACAGACTGGGTTTGGTTACTGATAAGTAATTATGAAAGGAAAAGGAATAAAAGTACAAGGCTGGGTTTTCCCCAGATTTGAAATTCATAGTTATAAGAAGCCAAAATCTAGACTTTCTCACCTACGTGGCAACTTGTGAATGAATTTCCTCCTTAAAGTGTATTGTAAATATGAGGCACTCAATAAATATGTGCTAAATGGCACCATGTGAACTGTAGGTATGAATGAGACTACAGAACTTTTAAAAATCTGGTCTTATAGAGTGAGACCGCTTCCATCTTAACACACTTATGTACACCACGGTCTACAGTTGTACACGCTGCAGATTACTGCTTGCTCCTGTCTGTAAGTTTTTTAGACAACAAAATTCTCTCCATCTTCGCATTTTATTTGTACAGATATGGTACAGGCAGAGGTAATTATATCTACTGTAATCTGAATGTTTGTGTCCCTCCAAAATTCGCATGTTGAAAACCTAATGCCCAGTGTGATGGTTTTAAGAGGTGTGGGCCTTTGGGAGGTGAGATCATGAGGGCAGGGCCTTCATGAATGGGATTAATGCCCTTAAAAAAGAGACCCCACAGAGCTCCCTAGCCCCTTCAGCCATGCGAGAACACAGTAGGAAGTCAGCAGTCTGCAACCCAGACGAGGGCCTTCACCAGAACCTGACCAAGCTGGTATCATGATCTTGGACTTCCAGCCTCTGGAACTGTGAGAAATAAATTTCTGTGTTTATAAGCCACTCAGTCTGTAGTATTTTGTTACAGCAGCCCAACTGGATTAAGACAATGTCTAATACTTAGAACTTTAACCCAATGTGCCCATCCTTCTCTCCAGCACAGGTCTTGTATATCTGGAACCTGTATGATTTATTGCTATGATATGTGTTTATTTCATGTGTTGCAATAGTCTATCCTATTCCATCTAAATACTAAACAACTTCTTTCTTAGTGTTTACTAGGCTCATTCCTGTCTCATACCATTTCATATAGTATACTCTGAATTGTCCTTGTGCTTGCTTTGATTCTCCCTATCTCCAAAAGGAAACAGAGTTGAATTTCTCTTTTTTTCTCCTGTTGTTTTGAAGAACTCCTTCTTCAGTTCATTTAAAAATATATAATACCTAACAGCTGTTCCCAATGAGTTCTACTGAGAAATCCAAAGCAGAACAGTACCATAGAGATTTATTGCTTTTATTAATCAGATACATGGGAGATTGTAGTTTGGAGATCTTTAAAATTTTATATCCTATATAATAGTTTTTGATGTGACTAAAATTTGATTTTCCTAATATAAAAATTATACTCTTCAAAACAGGTGTGGCAGATCTGTTGGTTACCTGCTCAATATCCATTCCCTCCTTCTTTCTTAACAACAAAATTTCTAATTATTGTGAATAGCAACTCGCCTAGTTATAACTTCCCAGTCTCCCTCGATAATAGGAATGACCAGTGAGATGGAAGCAGAAATTGTTGGATAGGGTGGTTCTAGGAAAGTTCTTTCAAGGGAGCTGACTCAAAAAAAAAAAAAAAGGGAGCTGACTCAAGTTGGAGGTATGCCCCTTTGAGATGACCGAAGCTCCAGAAGCCATCTAGAACCATCAGATACCTTGAAGATTTAACATAGTACCAAGATGGATGGAGCAAAATTAGAAGAACCCATCCCTGACAGCTATGAAGCAACCACACTAATGTTGGGCTTCCCTTCCCTCTGGACTATTTTAATCCAAAAGAAAAATCAATCTGGGACTTCCTTGGTGGTCCAGTGGGTAAGACTCCGGGCTCCCAATGCAGGGGGCCCAGGTTCGATCCCTGGTCGGGGAACTAGATCCTGCATGCGTGCCACAATTAAAGATCCCATGTGCCACAACTAAGACCCAGTGCAGCCAAAATAAATAATAAATAAATTTGAAATATATATATATATATCTCATGTAGCTTTAAAAAAAAAAAAATCAATCCCTACCTGACTGAACTACTGTTATTTGGATTTTTCTTTTTAACAACCAAATCTAAGCCTAATTAATAAACATACTATTCCTTTACTTGGTTAAATTGCAAATCTAGGCACAATATCCTTCTGAAGTACAAGCTAAAAGTCAGACCTGTGTAGAAATATAATATTGGCATAATTTTCTAGACCTGCTGCCAATACTTAAGGATCAGTTTAAAAATAAGACAGATGATCATCTTGTTCTTGACAATCTTTGGTACCAAATCTAGGCATCTCTTGTCAGAAATTTCCATGTTTACAAAAAAGTCCCAAAAGCTTTCTGGGTGATGTCTATAATTTTTAACTGTGAGTAATGTCACTCGTAACTCCTGCCTAGTAACTTCAAAGATGCGAGGAGTTCCTGCTGGCTGCATTATTGCTCCTTTTATTAAATACTCTGAATCTCACAATACTCTGTTGGGCTTTGGGATGCTCAAGACAATTTCTAGATTACTGAGTGGCCTTGAGGCTTTTCTCAAAGATGGACTAGGTCCAAGATGCTATTGTAGAAAGAGCTCAAGTCAGAGTCATGGATTTGGTTCTGCTACCAACTCTGAAAATTCTTTCACCTCTTTGCTCTTTTTCATCTGTAAAGAGGAGGGGTTTAGACTGGTTCTCTTTTATTTTTTATTTTTTGGCCACGCCGCGTGGCATGTGGGACCTTAGTTCCCTGACAAGGGATCGAAACCTCACCCCCTAGAGTGGAAGCGTAGAGTCTTAGCCACTGGATTGCCAGGGAAGTCCCTAGACTGGTTCTCTTTTAAATCCAAAATTCTGATTATAGCTAGGATTTCCTTCTAGCCACCTTCTAGGTTCCTCTTTGTAAAGCCATAGCACCAGTATGAATGAAACTTGTCTTCATGTTATATAAAATATGCATAGTACAAATTCAAATGTAGCTTGTAGTGGTAACTGGTAGTGGTACTCAACTGACAGTGTGTCTATTAGAAATATCTCCAAAACTTTAGAAAACAGATACAGTGACTTTACTTCAAACCTACCAAACCAGAATTTCTAGTAGTGGATGTAAGCATAGCTCCACAGGTGATTCAGAAGTGCAACCTAGAGGGTAGAAATAAAGGGCATTGCTTTGCTTTATGGCTAATATATTATGAAGACTCAGAAAACACTGACAGACTCATCTGTTTCAGAAGTTCTCTCACATCAGAACAACTGGACTCAACACCTACTGAAAGGAATCATTTTAAGGCTATTTGAAAGACCTGTTTAGAGTTTCTTAGGTATTACAGAAAATGTGCTGCTGACTATAGAAGTCTCTTTGGGAGACGTGGCCTTAATTTATTAGAACTGTCTGTACAGGTAAAGATGCCCACACAAGTTCCAATCTGTGTCTGGTTTCACACGATTGCCCCAAAACCGGCCAGTGCTGGTGGTGAACAACACAGACACAGGCCCACTAAGAAAGTCTGCCTCTTTGGTCAGAGATTACTGTACAGTAATGATTTATCACCTGGGCTGTATTTAAATGAGAAATCCTGTATATTATGTTTCACACTACTTCTGCAGAGCCATCGCTAATCCATTGTTTAGGAAATTTTAAATTAATCAACATTATGGTGGAACTCCTTTAATAAGACTGGGGATGAGGGCAAAGCCTTAAATGCAATAAACATGCTGAAAACAAGGTACTTCCTGCAAATAACTTTGAGGTAAAGGCAATGAAGTGGGGAAAGTAGGCAATGTAGATATGCACTGAATTCTTTAATCCATGGTATTTCAGAAACTAAGGTACTGTTATAATCTCTCATCTGCTCTGAAAATAAAAGCACTTAGTTAAGGTCTCCCTCCTAAATTGGTCAACTGCATAAAAGCTTGAAAATTAAAGAAGTAGATTCCAAATTCTCCTCTTCTGAAGGGTTTCCAACAGATTTCATTATATTACCTTTAGCCACAGGTTAAATCTCTCATAAACCAAAACTGCAAGGTTCTATACACACTGTACAAGTTACGGTGTATATTTTCACAGGGAACTATGAAACAGCTTTTCCATCCATCAATAACATATTCTTATAACTCCTGCTGGACATGTGGCCCACACATATATCAAATTGCACAGAACAGGAAGCGAGATGTATAACACTACAGCTAATTTTCAGTCTGTCATAAATTTAACTTGGGTTAAACACACCAAATCAAGGGTAACGGCTTCTTTATCATCCAAGCTGTTACCTAAAAAGATTCCATAATGTATTATGAACAGTAACTACTCTAAGTAGAGATATTTTTAAATACACATCAGGCTGAGAACTGAAATAGAACCACCTTGAAGCTTTTGGTAATTTGATCACATTATTGCCTAATAATTAGCCTTTCATTATTTTTGAAAAACTAAATTACCTAGATGTGAAGCAAACTCAAATAAGTCCCATACCTACATTGATACCTGGATGTAAAAAAA